ATATATATACATATATTACGTTCTTTACAAAAGTAGGTGGCACCTACCAACAGAGCATCATTGCTAGCCCAGGGTTTAATTTTGAACTACAGCTGAAAAAAAGAGTATTATTACCTATCAACATCTTCCTAAAATAATCACCTAAGTCAGGGGTGTCAAACTCATTTTCAGTGAAAGCCACATGAACATTATGGTGGTCCTCAAAGGGTCAGTTGTGATTGACTTTGATGTTTTGTGTTTAACTTTAACTAAATATGAAACAACACATTCCTCGTCTTAATTCTAATACTAAGCTCCGCTAACAAACATTAACTGAGTTCTACCTGGTATTTCCTGCATATAAACAGCATTTCAACATGTCTTCTTATAAACACTGAAAAGTGCTACACACACAACTGACTGAATATGAAATAAAAAATACAGAAATACTGATAAAATTAAAAGAGTTTTACTCACTGTTGAGTTGCGGTGAGTAGATGCCAACTTGGATTCTGAACTCGTTCTCTTTCCAACAGGGAATTCCCTCTGGAGGAACATTCCAGTCTGCATTTACAACTTTTAAGTGGGAAATTTCCACTTCCCAGTAAAACTGGGAAGCAGCAAAAGTAGACCGTGAAAATGCCACTAAATGTAGATTTTTATTTTTTATTTTTTTTACTTCAAATGTTGCCATCTCTGCTACCCGGCTAATTTTGAACCCTGTGAATCTCCACCTATTGGTGGGATGCTGTAATTTTGTTGGTGAAGTAATCAAAATGTGTTATTGGAGATGTATTTTATGGTCATTGCTGGCTTTAAGGCACCATAATATTACATAAATACATATTTGAATCTTTTGCAACCAGATAAAATGCTGTGGTGCGCCACATTAGGTCCACGGGCCTTTAGTTTGACATATGTGACCTGAGTCTTTTTTTCCCAGTTTTTCAGGAAACACAAAAAAACTAGATACCGCATAGCGCTAACATAATGACCCCCGCACACACAAATGCACCAGAACTCAGAAGTCTTTATTCCTAATAAATGTCATGCTAGCAGGTGCATCCCAAAATTGTAGTGGTTTGAGTGGGGGTTTTTTTTTTTTTTTTGGGGTGGGGAGGGGGGCATTGATTGACCTGATGGATAGCCCTTCATCAGAGCTAAACAGCCAAAGAAAATTTGAAGCTCCTATGCTTAATAGTTTTTGAGTTATAAGCATTTTTGCATGTCCTGACATCCCCTCTTTGAAAGGAGCCCCCTCCTCAAATATGGGGTATATCATAAAATCGTTGGCTGGCGCAGTGTAGGTCGGACTCATCTACAATC